GCGGGTGCCCTACCCGCCTGACCATGCCGAGCCGTATTGCTTTTATACTGTCTATAATTTTTGCAACTCTTATTATTCAACTTTTCAATGCAAGAATTAGACAATACAAAGTTTAAAAAAAAAACTGTGTAACATGATATTAACATTTATTTTAAACATGCCATTCTTATATAAGAATTAAAGAGAGATCTTTTTTTATAAATTTTATCCTGTACTCTAAGTAGAATGTTATTAATCTAAGATTTATCCAGATTTTGCTCTAGATCAACAATCATAACACATAACTCCTGTTAAAATCTTTCAAAACTGATATCTGAAAAATATTCTGTACCAACTAGCACATGTCAAAAATATATCTTTAAATAAAACAATTGGGCATTAAAGACAAAAGAAGTCTGTTTGACTGTAGTATTGTTACAAGGAGCCAAAACTCTTTATAGTGTTTGCAGCAGCTCCTTATAAGAAGAAAAAATGTTATACATATATATAAGTAAGTAAGTAACTATGACCAAAATATTATAGTTGGACTGTTTTTAAAGTGTTTCTTTTATAAAAATAAAATATGGTATAACTTTTGAAAAAAAAAACTATTAATCTTGTGAAACATTCCAGCTGATCTCTTGCATAAAGTGAACTCCACTGGATCTTAACTGCACTAAAGGTTTTAATAAAGTTTTAACCTGGGTAACCTTAATTACAAACTAGGAATTTACTTACATTACAAGTAGACTTGGATAAACTCTAACTGCTTTCCAAGATACAAAGAAATTATACTACATCACAGAAAACAACTACTCACCATCAATAAAGCAATTGCAACTTGAAAAATGGTTTCCATTGCCTGTAAGAAAAGAAAAAAAGAAACTGTACTTTATTTTCACATAATTTCTATAAATAACAAACAACACTGTTCAAAAAGAAAAAGTAAATAATACACTGATTCATTTCATCTTTCATCAAAACTGATTCTTCTGATCTAATTCACAGAATTCTAAAGCACATGCATTATTCTGTATAAAAATCATACACATTTCAATGTTATAAGTAATGTATTCCTATAAATTCTTTCAGCACTGAATCGGTACAGGGACTGACCTCGTAACCATTTTGTGCATGTTATAGTTTCATGCTATAACTTTTAAATTAGTTAGTGTATCTTCATGAAATTTTGCAGATTATCAGTGAACATTACAATGCTTTCATACACAAAATATCAGGTTTTATAAGTTTTAAGATTTCTAATGCAATGTTTTTCTCATTCCTTTTTTACTTTTCAAATGTTGACTATCCAACATGCAAAGTGATTTTGATTTTAAGATACTTTTATGCATCCAAAAATTTTCAAATTTCACATGCAAAATCCTTATATTTTATCTCTTCTTTTCACTATCGATTCTCTGTAAAGGTTAGGTCCATTTGACAGACCTAGTAACCATCATAAAAGATTAGGAATTAAATATAAATTATGCTTTTTTCTTTCTAGAATGACTACAAAGTATAACACAAAAACACAAATGATTAGTCTAAATAGCTTAAATCTCATAATATTATATATCTATGTATATATATATATTTTTTTTATTATATTGACCTTTCAGCTGTACCTGGATAACATTACAGAAGTTGCAATAACATGGTACAAGTGCACTCACGTTACTGTATCCAAGAATATAAAACTGGCCTTTACAAAGTGACCTGTCTTGGGTGTGTTTTAGTGGACTAATATTTTGTACAGTACAATCACATTTCAGTTATAGTACATTATATATGTATACATATTATTACTATTTACAAACAAGTTCTTAAAACATAGAAAATTAAATAAAGAAATATAGCAAACAATTACCTCTTCTAGTTACGAGCTTTGTACTCAATTGCTGTTTGCCGTAGGTTTCTAAGCCTTAACAAATTTTTTACATGGAGGATGTGAAACAAAATTATTTTTTTTAGGTTTTAGATATATATATATATATATATATTTTTTATGTTTTTTTAGGGATAACTATCATACCCACAACTGGCTATAGACGGTGAGTGATAGTGGGATCTGGGACATTGTGGGTTCTAGCACCCAGATCCTAATCCCCTTTTTTTCAGTTACATGCTGACTAGCTCTGCATCTGTTGTTTTGATTATGGGCGCTATAACCGCAGACATTTTCACTTTAAAATGATACCTTTTGTACTTTTGTACAAATGATTTAATTTTACATTGTTATATTAGAATTTTGTTGGAGCATTCACTTACTTGTTGGCATGTACATCTACATGTACAATAAATAAATTGTAGGTTATATATTCATTTTGAAATAACCAAAAATCCTAAATAATTATATCAATACCACAGAATTCTACTATAAGTTATCAAGCTTAGTAAATAATCTGTATTTGGGTCTAAAAATATGAAATTTTGAGTTCACTAATGTCTTACCTTACTGCTTGGAATCTAGCATTGAAAGAAAGAGTTTGCCACCCAAATACTTGAGCTATCAATTAGTTATTCACACATCATAAACAGAAGTTGGTGTACATAAGCCAGTCTTTCCAAAAATGGACAGAGGTGGGCAGGGCCACTGTGTTTGATTCAGTACATGTAGTGATATCTCAGCAAATAGAAAAGATAGGAGGTACTTATTTTATATTCTAGCTTGTCAATATTGGTAATTTGAGTTCCTAATTCATAAGAAACTATAGACTTTGCATCACATCATGACAAACATCTAATTTGAACCAATTTTGCATTCAACATACCATGTGACACACACAAATTGATGTTTAGGGTTTCAGAAAAGATTGAAAAAGACAGGAGTTTAATGAAAAGAAGAAGAATAGCATGAATTTTGACACTGGTTCAGATCCTAATGGTTAGTGTGTCGGGTTGTGTCCATAGAAGGTCCAGTATTTGAACTGCGATATACCACTGAACATGCCACGCACTTTCAATTCTGGCATTAAATCCCACTATCTAGTTAGGAACAGCCCTGTTGCCAGAAGGTGTTGCTGACTGATTGATCTTCATCTGGTTTCTTGTAATAATCGGTTCAGAATTGAACATTTTGCAACATTAGACCTGACAGTGCTTTTCAATATATAACTCATTTAAACATGCTGACGTTTACATCTAAAAAATAAACATGAAGCCAAATCTGTCATTTGGTTTACTACTTGTTAGTAAATTATACCAGTTTGGGGGAAATTCCACTGCTATTTTACTGTATGAGTAAAAGGCATTTCAAAACACCATACTGAGATTACTGATGAAGGATCGAATTCCCCAAGACTGATATAGCTTAGTGATAAGTAGTAAGTCAAATGATAGATTGGGCTTCTCATTTATTCTTAGTATTTTAAACAGCCTGTGTGTCAGAATAATTTACAAGAATAAATTAGTGAGATCAATGCTGAATATCCTTGAAATTCCTATATAAATATAGGATTATTCTGTGAGTGAAATCCCATTAACAGAAATACCCAAATACAAATCACTATTATCAAAATAAATGGTACAGTTAACTGAGTATGTGTAAAGTTATTAATTTCCTATACTGAAAATATACTTCCAATAGGTACTTACATATATAGCTATTCTTGTCCAGTGCTGCCCTCTATATGCAAAATGTTTTTGCATGCCACAAGCTTGAACTCTCACAATCAACATGGTTCAACTGTGTCTCACATGTAAATCATCATGCGACAATCCTTCACCAATAGAAGTGCAACACACCGTCCTGACGCACATGACTCCCTCTACTCGATCCTACCAAACTATCACTTATAGATCAAGTAGAAAAGAAAGCACCAGTTTTCAGTGGAGAGGAAGGGTGGGAAGTATGAACAACGGCATGTTCAACATAGCAAAATAATAACTTCTAATATGGTACTTTACCTTTACTCACGTGTATAGCTAGAATCCTACAATGAACAAGGCAGAGGGACCGATGAGAGGGACAGAAACGAGTATCCTTCGAAAGAGTCTGAAAAACATCTCTGAAGTGTAATTCCCATTGGGAGAGGAACACACATGGGAGACTGCACCACTACTGTACCAGGTATACTCTGCACTCAGTGTGAAAGGAGGAGTCTCATACACAACAGAAAGTGGGAGGAGCACAACCAAAGAAAAAAAAAGGAGAGAAAACTTGATGAGCTGGAATCCAAACAAGAGTATACCAGAATCTAAATACCAAAGAAGAAAGATTGTAGATAAACCATCAACAGAAAAGAATGTGGGGAAAGCTAAAACGGAACTGCTCATAGGAGTCGAGTGGCTAGGACGTGATGGACTGTACGCAGCTGGTCAACTCCAGTACAAAACCAAGTTGTATCAAGAATAGAACTTCCAACCCTTGACAGGAGGAGGGCTACACCATCTTCACCTCAAGTTAAGTAGAATGGAAGTATATACTGTGCAAATCAATCTATGAAATGGGCATGTAAACAAATCCACAACCAACCATACACATGGTAACTCAACATCCGAGCCCATCTGAGAGAGTTAAGATCTGGTTCTTCTTTATAACCCTTTTACAATGGTCTTCTGCAATTTGAAGGAGTATGACTGGATAAAGATACTTGTGCAACAATACATACAGTAACTCCGAGATATCTTAATGTATTCTCACAAAAAGTGGTAAGAATTTGTTTAAGATTATAATTATTTTGTATACAAATAATGACATTTTTTTAAGTCTTTCTATTAAAAATATGTTATCTATTTATTGTAGGTATTTGCATTCAGACTCTGAATAGTTCAAGTGCAAGGTGATTTTCATTTTAAGTATAAAAATACTTTTCTTCATCTTACAGTTGTCAAGTTTTATTTGCATTACCTCAAGAACCTCCTAAATGAATTTTCAAAAGTTTTTAAGGTGAACATTTATATTTTACATTCCATTTTCTTTATCATATCACTAATTGTAGGTATCATCAACATACATTGCAATGAAATATTTAAAATTAAGAAACAGAAAAATGTACATACCTTTTAATTTTTCATGGAATATTTTAAAATATCTTTTTTTGGTGACCTTTGTAATTTCAGGTCTTTTCTTTTTCACATATATACTTAATATTTAATGTTTTATTTTCATTTCCTGTCCTTTACCATTTATTATTCATCTCGACACAAGTCACATGCTTTTGAGGTGTATTTAAAGTATCATGGGCAGAGATGCACAAGCCTTTGGCAAAATTATCTTACCCTCGCACAAGATCGTAAGCCTTGAGAACTGGGGAATTTTTGAGATAAATTTTTTAAATGCTTAAATCTTTTAGTTATGCATTTTAAAATATAAATGATACATAATTAACTAAGCTATAAAAGTAAAACTTAAACACAATTTAACTGTCTCTCTATAACATACTTAGGTAAGAAACATCCATGAGTGCTATGGTGGACAAAACAAAAAAAAAATACTACCAGCAATTCCATATCCCCAATGATAACAACTAAGCACCAATTAAAAAATAACCATTTTAGGATTATAGTGTAAAATGCGTTCTTTCTAATTGATTAAAACCACGTACAGCAAATAAGTAAACGTCACTTGTAAATCTCAAGGCTATGTATAGAAGGTGAGCATGACTCCTGTCAGGGTTTGAAAAATTTATCCCTAGTTTCAACAGAAGTCAGGCAAAGAAATTTGGAATATACATGTCAATAGATCGCATAAATGTACTTATTGTCTAGACATGCATCTACAGGACAGTTGAGATTTTTCATAGCTCGTGGGTCACGTGATAACAATACTGAAGTTTAAGTATCTTTCTTTTAAGGTTTCTTTTGAAACAAAAGGAATTAAAACATAGATAACATAAAACTATTGATTATAATATCTCCTTGACTTACAATGATAGTAAAGTTGTCTAATTAAAATTTGAATGTAACACGGTGACTTGCTTAGAAAGGGGTACCCAATATTAAGAGATAGCCACTAAATGATCAAACATATATAGTGTTTTGATACAATTATTTGTGGGATAATAGATTTACTCTGGTACAACATTTCATCTCTAACAGTGAAACCTGATCATGTACAACACTCAAAGTGCAAATACATCATATAACAAGTATATGCAACCAAATAATTTGTGATGATATTAGCACCTTTTATTTTTCAATGTAAATAACTTAATACAAACATAGTGGTGCTCCTGGCGTTTTACTTATATACACCTGGAAAAAAGTTAAGCACCCCCGTGATTCAGATTCGACATTCTTG